GAGCAAGTTGCCAAGCAATTTCTTTCATGAGATCTTCTTGCATCTCCTCACTCATGCCCACCTCTTCAAAGCTCAGTGTGGGGTGCGGGAAAGGGTGGTCGGCTACGACAGGACATTCCTGATCATGATCATCCCGGGAGCTCTCCGTGACAACTTCTGTGTGCTCCACAATGTCCTTGTAGCCTTCTTCTTCCTCCTCCTCTTCTTGTATGGTAGCAGAAGGGTGATCTTGAGCAAGTTGTGCACAAACTTGCTCAACCCACTCTGTTTGCTTCGCTGAGCGTTGAACAGCCTCCTCCATATCACGGAGATATGAGGGATCGGAAGAGGGAAGGGCTTGGATTTGATGATCCATCCTGGAGCATATTCTCTCAGAGGCTCGAGTAAACTGCTCCAGGAGTAACTCCAGCTCCGATGGCCCTTCTGGTTGTGGGAGAAATTCTTCTTGATAATGAGGTTGTTCTTGATATGCCCAGGGGTCCGGTTGTTCTCCGTAGTAAGGGGGTTGGTATTGGAACTCGAATCCATAGTCTTCTCCTCCTTGATTGCTCCAGGGAGTCTCGGGGTAATACCACTCGGGTGGTGGTGGATACCCCCAATTGTTGGAGAAGCCATGAGGATCCATGATTCAGATCTGCACCAACAAAAACAAAAACACCCAAGTGAAAAGCAAGGGTGGAAAAGAAAAGAAAAAACGCTAAAGTAACAAACTTCTGCCTTTCCTAATACTCTAGAAAGTCCCCGGCAACGGCGCCAAAAACTTGACTCGCTAAAACACAACACCTAACAATGGCCAAGTGTAACCAATGAAAGGGACTGCAGTATAGTGGCTCAAGTAATAAATATCGAATCCACGGGTCTCTAGAGTTACTATTACTCAGCTTTAGTTCGTTATCTAGCAAAACAGATTAAGTTGAAAGAACTAAAACTACTCTAGCAAACTACAGTTAAAGTTAATCTAATTACAGGTTGGGAACTCACTTAGGTATGATTCCCCCTAGCCACTAGCCAGATTAATGATTGATGATTTCTAACTTGTTTCACTTTCATTCACAATGCGGAGAATCCTTGACTAGACCTTGAGTCTCGACTAAAGGAACAAGGCCCTCTTGAGTCAATTGCCTAGAGGGACGTATCCTTCTCTAGAACAACCGATCAAGGCGTTCTGAACTAGATTCCCTCTATCAAATGAGGTTCTCAATCGATACAAAGCAGTGAATCAACCCTCGACTAAAGCAATCGATCCACTACTATCAATCTATGGTGCTCTATTGACCTAATCAGGTATTCGCTCTCATAGGATCAAAGCAGAATCAATAATCTCGACTAAAGCAGAATTGAATCGTGAAAACATGCATAGATTGAATATGAACTCAAGATTATCAAGTCAGAGTACTCATACAATCATCCAATCAAACAAACATAGCTAGGGTTCCTCAAAACCTAAGTGAAGGGAAGTTACTCCATAGAGAAGAGAGAGACTGCAGTAAGAATCTTCAGATGATCAGTCTTCAAGTCCGGGCTTGATTCCCGAGCTCCAATGGCGAAGAAATCCTCCAAAATAGCTCCAAGAATGTTCCCAAGTCGCTCTCTCTTTCTAGGGTTCGTCCCTTGGGTGTTTGGGATCCAAAACCCAGCTCTCCCTCTCCTTTGGCTCGAATTTGGGTTAAAAAACCCGATTCTGGGCAAAACACGGTCGCGGGCACGGCCGTGCTTTGCTTTTGACCGCCCGTGTTTTGCCCCGTGTTAAAAACACGCTCGGTCGCGTCGGTCAAAACACGGTCATGCCTAAATATGGGCACGGCCGTGTTTTGATTTAGGCGCGCCCGTGTTTTTACTGCCGAACCTGTTCCCCTATATTCAATGCTTCGTTTCTCCCTCGTCCGGACTCCGAATCAGTCGCCGTTTGATCCCAGACGCTCGTAGTCTCGTCCTCTTTCTTTGCATGACAAGCTTGCATGATTCTTTGTCCATAAAGTGAGGTAGAAATCCATTCTTCTTCAGGTCATGCCCGAGTTTCTGCTCCCGAATCGCCAATTGATCTCTGATTGACTTGAAACTTGCGCCTATGCTTCACTTTATGTGCTAGGACCTGAAATGTGACAAAGGAACACAACCTAGCGTAAAATAGGCCAAAGACACGGTAATTCAAGCTCAAACAATCAAGAAACAAAGGGGAAAACATGTGCAAATACCGAGTCATCACTCTCCAAAAGGCATGTGAAAGGTGTTGGTGTCAGGCTGCCACCTCTCCACAAATGCCACAAGTAAAGGTCCGTCCAAGTGCTGGATCGAGCAGTCCAACAACTTGCGCAACCCTGTCCTCTCAACCAATGCTGCAGCACCCTCACTCTGAAATTTGTAATCTTTCAAATAATTGACTGTCAATGCTCTAGTCGACAACTTGAATGAATCCATTCGGCGAGCCCCTAAACCATCATCCCATAATCGATAAGCCACATGACCTCCAAAACTAGGAATCAGGCTATGATCGATAGGCCCCCCCGGCCCACTCCTGTCGAGAATCCACGAATCAGCTTCTCTCGCCTTCTTCCTCTTACTAGTGCTGCCCTCCTCCGAATCGGGTCGTGATGACTCAAAACGACCACGAGCCCCACGTCTAACATGAACAAACTGAGAGGACGAAGAAGACACAAAAGGAGCCTCGGGCTCTAATCTAGGTCCACTAGAACCACCTGCACTCGGATGGTTGCTCTCGAAGAAAGCATCATTTACATGCGGGAAGTCATCATAATTGTCATCACTGCCATCATACTCATCCACTCCCTCAAAAGCTGTATCTAAGTCAAAAGGCACGGGAGGCGGGGGAGAAGGATTCTCCACAAGTCTAGCACGTCGACGCTCATTCTCGGCTTCCTCACGACGCGACCTCAATACTATACGGTTGGTCACCCTCGACGGCTCTACCTCCTTCAACTTCTTCTTTCCTCTTGTATCCACCATTTTCTACCTATTAAAATTTGAATTAAAATTATTGTCAGATTATTATCATCATGTAATAGTTATTAGCAATGTTCATATGATAATTGTTAGTTCTCATATAATAAATTTTTATATTCAAATGTTCAAGGTTCGTATATTTGTCTATTATAATTTAACATTCGTATATAATTTCAATTACAATAAAATTCCCATCACAATATAATATTCGAAATTATAATGAATTTCACAATAAATTCTAACTTAATTTTCTTGCTTAAATTGTCTATTATAATTTAACATTCGTATATAATTTCAATTACAATAAAATTCCCATCACAATATAATGTTCAAAATTGTAATGTATTTCACGATGAATTCTAACTTAATTTTCTTGCTTAAATTGTCAATTGCAATTTAAGGTTCGTACAACAATTAATACTTACTATGAAATAAAATTCTATATTTAAATTATTAAACTTTCTTATATTTATCAATTAAAATTTACCTTTCCTATCTAATTTCAATTAAATGAAAACATTAACCGACATAATTTTCGTATATATTAAATATTAACATATTTAAAGAAGATAATTAACATACATAATTTAAACAGATAATTAGAGTAATTAATCTACATTAAATCATAATAATTAAAGCATAATTAAAGGAGATAATTAGAGTAATTTTTTAAATTAATTTAAATTATATAATTAACCTACATTAAATCATAATAATTATACTAAATAAATAACCTAAATTTAAAAAAAAAAAAAAATTGACTCGCCGCCGGCGAGGGCGACGTCCTGCCCAGGCGTCGCCGGCGACGGACAAACGTCCGGCCAGGACGTTCGTCCGTCGCCGGCGACGCCTGGGCAGGACGTCGCCCTCGCCGCCGGCGGGTCAAACGGCTTTCGACGGCAGTTTGACCGCCGGCGGCGAGGGCGACGTCCTGCCCAGGCGTCGCCGGCGACGGACGAACGTCCTGGCCGGACGTTCGTCCGTCGCCGGCGACGCCTGGGCAGGACGTCGCCCTCGCCGCCGGCGGGTCAAACGGCCGGTCGTCACCTCCTTCGTGCAAAAATTAAAAATTACCTTCGCGAAGCGCTCTGATTTCGTCTCCGGCGAGAGGTCGTCGTCTCCGGCGAGAGGTGGTCGTCGTATTTGAGAGGAAACCGGCGACAGGAGAGATGGGGCGAGTCACGTCTCCGGCGAGAGCTCGTCGTCGCCGGCGAGTGGTCGCCGGCGAGTGGTCGTCGTCGCCGGCGAGAGCTCGTCGTCGCCGGCGAGAATATTTGGGAGGAATCTGGGAGGAATCCGGCAAGGTGAATTGGTAGGGAAGGGAGTGTTTGGTTGGAGGTGTAACAAGTTCAATATTTTAAAAGGAAGGAAGGGTAAAATAGTAATTACATTCTCTTAGGGCTATAAATAAGAAAAAGCTAGGGCTATAAATAGCAATTCAGTTGTTTTATTTCCTGCCGCTTGTGATAGTTTGATTCTAGACAGTGGTTATTATTGTTTGGTATGTTGATTTTTGTTATCACTTATCTGTGAGTTCTTTGGTAATACAAGCCATTGGAAAGGTGGGGAAACTGATCTAAGAATCTGCGGATACTTTTTTTTTCTTCTTTTTTGGTTGCTTAGAAGTTAGAACTCAGCTCAGGAAATGAGACGGCTCATAAGTCATAACAGCATGAAAAATGAAAAGTATAGACTTTAGGCCCAGTCATGTGCTTTGTAGTTTCAGAACTTCTCAGTGCTATTTGTTCGAAGGGTTTGGACGGGCTGGCCTAATCATCATCCAAGCAACGAGCACAAGGCCCACAGGCCCATAATAGTCAAAGCCCAGAGGGATAACCGAAAACATTTCGTTCTCGTCTCTTTTCCGTCTCTGTTTCTGTCTCAGCCTACATTCAAATAGGATTCTCGGTCACACACACCCGCCTGACCCGGCGGACAGCAGCCAGCCATTGTTAAGGGTTTTAGAAAATAGCCGTCACCCCAGAGCCAATCTCTCTCAGCAACGCCATCTCCTTTCAGATGAAGCTTCCAATCCCGCCATGAGGACCAGATCGTCCCTCCGCCACCCAAAAACCCCCTCCGCCGCCGCCGCTGCTCTGCCTCCACCTCCCCCCGAGAGCAATCCCTCGGACTGCGCAAACGGGATCGCCAGAATCGCAGTCGCGCAGGTCTGCCAATCGGTCGGTTTCAAGTCGGCGGAGGGCCCGGCCCTCGAAACCCTAACCCGCGTGGCTGGTCTTTACCTCAAAACCCTAGCCAAGGCGGCGGCGTCCTACTCCGGCGACAGCAATCGCACCGAATCGAATGCCTTCGACGTCGTCAACGCCCTCCACGAGCTCGAATCGGCGCAGGGATTCGCCGGGGCGTCCGATCCACGCGGCTGCTGTCTGGTGAGATCGAGCGTGGTGAAAGACGCGCAGCGTTTCTTGAATACTATCGACGAGATCCCCTTTGCGAAGCCGATTCCGAGGGCGGACGGTTCGGGATCGTCTCCGGCGCCGCCGTGCTCGGGTGCCCGGCCGAGGGGGAAGCACATTCCGGACTGGTTGCCGGATTTCCCCGAGGAGAGCACGTATAGGGAGGAGGGATGTGAGGGAATCGTAGAGGGTAGGGATGTGGAGTTGGCGTTGTGGGAGAGAACAATTTCCTGCGGAGGAGAAGGAGAAGGAGTGGGAGCTGGTGGGAAAACTGGAGAAGGGAGTGGAGGGGAGTTGAGAAGGGAGAGGGAAAGAGTGAAGTTCCAGATATGCAAAAGGGAAGAAGCTACCCTCATCGCGAAGAAGAGAAGAACAATGGGACGGTGACGACAGAGAAACGGGTTCAGAATGAGGGAGGAGGCAGGATTCGAACCATGGATGTCACATGAGCTATGCAGCACCTACACCACTGTGCTAGTGCCAAAATATCCGTATAATTTTCCTCAGTTTTCTATATCTAGCAGAAAGCCTAGCTGTGTCTTTCTCCTTCAACCTCAAAAAGTTGGCAGTCGGACCGTGCTCTTGTTTCTCTAGTCTGTTTTTTATTCGCTGGTTGTTAGTCCCAAGTTTTGATGAATGTTTCATCCCCAAAGGCCACAATACCACCAGATCAACTCCTTAGAAGTTGTGTGCTTTATATGTAAATGAATTTTTTTATAAAATTTCATATTGGATTTCTAAAACCACACCAGAAACTGTATCGTTAACACGAAAAATCGTTATTTACCTGTTACCCTGAAATTTTCACGATCGAATCTCCGATACGATTTTACAAACACTATAGCTAACCCTACCATTTCCGGGTTTCTTTCAATACAACCATTTCAGGCAAACAAGTGAAGTATCGACACTTCTTACCCTATCAATTATACAACCTCAAGCACATGAGCAACTGACAGTTGCTTCACCAGCACTGCTACCAGATTTTCTGCAGATCATACTAGTTCGGCCGAAGCTCGTCGGCACATATTCACAATTGAAAAGCGGGCCAAATATTATACTTACTGCCAAAAAACCATTGTAGCAATCAATACGTAGAGGATAGACAAAGTAGATTACACAGATTTCATTCACAGGCAAAACGTTCATCCTCCTATGCAGCAATATCACAAAAAAAACTTCTAAAACTCTTACTAGACAAAAGGTGGCAACAATATATTTCGTAGCAGACGTATTTAATAATAGCTCACCACCCAAGCAAGGAAGACAACGGATGAAAAATGGTTCTCCGAATCGAACAACTCCACACATTTATTTTTTCCCACAGCTGAAACCTTTGCATACTGAGAGTACGATGATGAGGATCAACGCGATGAGGATTCCCAGAACAATGAGCTTGATCTTCATATTCTGCAGCCACATCTTCCTCCTGATTTTTGTTCCAGTAGATCGGAAGTCTTGTGCCTGTAAGTACCAATTTCGTCACATGTTATTATTAAAACCGAGAGAGAACACTGAGGTGATTATGTCCTTGCAAACAATTACACACACACCCCCACTCCGTCAAGAACTAAGCAAGCGGGATAACTTGAGAAATTCAGATCCCAGTGCCAGTCTATGTATCATGCAGGCCCGATAAGTCGCATATATTGCCAGCATTAAGTCTCATGACATACAAAGCTAACATTTCTTCATTTGTAAAATTACAGTATAAGCCTTAGGAACAAAATGCTATGTAGAATTAGAGTATCACTGACCTGCTGATGGAGATTCTCAGTTTTGTCCACCAGAAGTTCTATCTTCTCTCCCCTGTCCAAAACCTATATAAGACGGACATGAGAGAATTTCAGCTACTTGTGTTGATATCCTATTAGACAAAAAAAAAAAGCATGCATGTTGGCAGAACACAACCCCAATGGGAAGTCAGCCTGGCTGCTTCACAATTCGTTCCAAAACTCTATTAAAGTACAGTGGCACAGTGTGCTCTCTGGATCATTCATGTATGCAAACAAGCTCACAAGAGCTGTGAGTTGAGCAAGAAGGACTATAATTTGGAAAATTTCTCATAAGACCACATACGAAAAATATTCAACTTTGCTTGTCCGAGGAGGAAAGACAACTAGTTTCCCGAAACAATCACATCCAGAAATTCATCAAGCAAAAAAGAAAAAAACAGGAACAACACTACAGATATGAAAAATGACAGCATCAATGAACAAGAAGTTTATGATGAAACGGCTTAAGCAAACAAAAGCATCTTCCGAATAGAACAGCCATAACATCGAGAGGCAGGAAGTTCTGATACCACTCAGCTGGGGTCATTAACAACAATGATATTGATAGGGTGGTGTTACAAAACACATAACACTTACTCAACCTATACATATGGCAACATCAGCATCGATCTCATTATAATGCACACAATGAGAAATTGGTGCATCCGGTAAACAATTGACAGTTCATTGACCATGTAGCAGTCACTTCACTACACAAGACCAACTGACAAAGGAGCACAGAACATGGTATATTCACGATCATGAAGACACAGAAGTATTGACAATTTAAATCCACATTTGCTCTGGTATTCTGGTAACATTTAAGGAAACAATCTGATCTTTGTCATTCCACCAAGACCAGAGAGATGATGCACCGTACCTTTTCAATGTTCTCCATCATAACTCCTTTCACTTCTGAAACCTGAGCTTTAACCTTTGCAAGCTTGCTTATCTCTTCAGGGTGATCCACACAGTACTGCATATGCTCTTTCAGTTTTGGCCTACAAACAGGCAAGGGTTTATGTTACAGCCAAAGAAAAGTCATAAGAACAAACTGATCAAGTATCACAATCCACCAATCAGATTACCCAAATTCCTTGTTTAGGCTATTGGCAGCAGCTGTTGTAGCCTTTCCACTACCGTATTTCGTCATGAAATCTTCCTTGATACGTTCCAGGAAAGCCATGGGCACCTGTCTTCCAGCTGATTCATCGGCAACGACGCAGTACGCTGCAAAGTAGAATAAGGAAAGTCAGTCCGCCGCCACGGCATAGAGGATTTACATACAGATCGAAAATGAAAAAGCACGGCCTAAGATCCGTGATCCAGTTCAAGATATTCATCATCTCCCTCCTGGCTACCGATTCTACTCAATCAACAACAATACGGCCAAGCAGATCCCTCGATCAACCAAAAAAAAAAAAAAAAATCTTTCTAATCAGACTTAGAGTGGACCAGAAACTCAGCCGCCATGAATCGGAATCAGTTCTAGTCAAAAATCGGCCTCGCCTAACTCCATTTCAGAAAGGAATGAACAAAAACGAGAACAGAAGGAGGAGAAGACAAGGAACTCACTGTAGCCATTATCAACGAGATAATTGAAAGTGTGGCCGTCGCAGTTGTAGGTAAACTTGTTGTTGGTTGCGGGGAGTTTCTGGAGGCACTGGAAGGCTATGGAGTTGAAATTGCCGCTGAATTCGGTGTACTCGGCGAGAAGCACAGTGCCGCGGGAGACGAAGGAGTAGATCAGAGTTTTCTGCGCCATTTCCGGCGAGTCAGGGAGGCGGATTCGGCGAAGGCAGAGAGAGATCTGAGATTTCTAAGGAGGGAGGGAGCTTCGTCCGTGTCGTTGCTGTTACGTTTGCTAGAAAAGCCACTATCTATCTATATACCCGTCTCTTTCTAAATCAAATTACACGGCGACTAAACAACGCACCACACACAAAACTGGAGCGGCCTCTCTCTTCTTTTCTCCGGTGGGAAGAGGCAGGAGGTGAGAGAAGACCTTTTGGAAGGGAGGTGGGGGAAAGGGAAAGGGAAGGAAGGAGAACAACGGGGTGGGAGGTTTAAACGGGGAAAAAGAGAGAGAGACGAAAGAAAGCGGAGGAGTAGAACAAAAGAAAAGCGTGAGGTTTATTGATGATTTGTATTTTTTTGATTGCTGACTAAGGAAGCTCTAGAAGAGAACGCCAACAATAAAAACAGTTGCCAAATGAAAGTTAATAATAATACTTCCTAAAAAAATTACAAATATACCTTTTTTTTAAACAGAAAACTGCGCTCAACTTTATTAGGTAGATGTCAAGCATACATCATCCAGTTTTAACTGGTGAAGAATACTAATCGGCGGTCTATCAAACCAGACCTCCGTCTCATCCCATCGAGTGTCCATATGCGCCATTATATGTGTTGCCTTGTTCGCATTTCTTCTGATATGTTGGACTCTGTTCGCCTCTTTTCCCTGTAACAACTTCCTGATATTCAACACAATAGTGCCTAGCTCGGTGTAGTTCACACGAGCTTCCCTAATCCAGTTGACTACTATCAAGCAGTCTGATTCCACCAACGGTGTTCCTAGCTGATGTCGTCGAACTAGCTGCAATCCGAGTTCCATGGCCAGTGCTTCACCCATCGGTCGGTCATGCTTCCCACGTACCCTCCTTGCCGCTGCCATTATAAACCTTCCATTATGATCTCTGATAACCACTCCCGGTCTAGTGCTCTCCTCACTAAAGCCAACATTTGTATTGACCTTGATCATACCCCAAGGTGGCCTCTGCCAAGTGTATATAGCTCCTGGGGAGGGAACCTGTTGGTCATAGCGTTGATGTTGACGATATTCATCAAGGTATGCAATTGCTCGTGGGACAATATCGCTTTCTTCCATCTTCTTGACATTGAATAGATGAGCATTGCGTTCCTTCCATAATGACCATAAGTCAACACACTCCAGTCTTCCGTCATCTCTTTTGGCACAGATACAATCACCTTCGCCACCCACTCCTTACAACTTCCATCTCCTCGCAATTCGAAACACTGCGCCACCTGAGAAGTGCGCCACAATCTCGAAGCCCAAGCACACTCACTGAAGAGGTGAACCTGTGTTTCCTTAAGGTTACAGAACGGGCATGCATCCCCTCTTCGAGAACTACGTATACTCACTCGATCCCCTGTAGCAAGAGATTCTCTAGTGAACCTCCAAAAAAACACTCTGACTTTAGGAGGTATATTAAGAGACCAAATGCATTTCCACAAGGGTAGGTCACTCGTCGTCGCGTCACCATTATACTCTCGATCATCTTTCAACCACTTTCGGTACTCGTTTCTTGCTGCATAATTTTCGTCTCTACTATCCGCCCATATCAGCCTGTTAGGAACTAAAGAGTCTCATAATGGGATTTGACGAATGGCTACCGTCCTCGTTGTTGGGAAACAACTTTCAAAAAGCATCTCGTCCCATTGATTTAACTCTTCGTCAATCAGGTCTCTAACAGGCGCATCGACCAGCAGCCCCCATCGGTGGCGATTGCACATAGTACCATGGTACTGTTGGAATCCAACGGTCCCCCCATATCTTCGCAGTTGCTCCGTTCCCAATCCTCCATCTGAGTCCACTCATTCGAAAATCTTGTGCCCCCATCAAACTCTTCCATACGTAATTAGGGCGGTATCCAATACTTGCATCCAAAATATTATCATTCTTATGATACTTTGCTTTCAAAATCTTTGATATGAGTGAGTCTAGGCGTTGGTAAAGGCCCCAGAGCTGACATGCTAAGAGGGAAAGATTCAAGCCCCACAAATCCCGAGAGCCCATACCCCCTTCTGACTTCGATCTGACTAGGGATGCCCTTCCAATCCAAGAATTCTCCGTTCATCGCCTTGCTGCCCCCACCAAAATTGCATAATCATACTATGAATTTCCTCAATGATACCATCAGGGACCTTAAAAACAACCATCGTATACGTTAGTTGGGCCTGCGCAACTGATTTAATCAATACCTCTCTTGCCGCTGCTGACATCGTTCTTTCTTTCCAGCCAGATAACTTTTTCCTCACACGCTCCTTCATATAGACAAAAAGAGATTTCTTTGATCTTCCCACCTGCGTCACTAATTCCAGATATTTGTCATGTTTATCGACAGCTCGCATCCCCAAGGTCGAACTAACCAACAGCTTCTGATGTGGCTTCACGTTTTCACCAAAACTGACTTCCGATTTCTCAAAACTCACAAGTTGGCCAGACTCTAGTTGATAGTCCCCCAAAATTCTCCTCAAATCCTTACTCTCCTGGACAGTGGCCCTGGCAAAAAAGATAGAGTCATCAACAAAAAATAGGCGAGAGATCACCGGAGCTCCTCTCGCAACAGACAGCCCATGGATCCGTTTCTCGCGAATTGCCTTAGATGTGTAGGATGACAGCCTCTCCGCCACGAGCAAGAATAAGTACGGGGAGAGCGGGTCTCCTTGCCGGAGGCCTCTCGTTGGAATCAGTTGTTGTGAACGATGGCCATTCACCAAGATGGAGTATGTAACACACGTAACGCACATCATAACAAGGTGCGTCCATCTATCCGAGAACCCCAATCTCTGCTTTATCCCTTCCAGAAACCACCACTCCACTCTGACGTAGGCTTTAGCCATGTCCGTCTTTGCCGCAAAAAAATTGGTTTTGTTCTTCATTTTCTTTTTCATATTATGGAAACACTCGAAAGCTACCATAACGTTATTCGCAATAAATCTGCCGGGCACAAAAGCTGACTGCTCCGGGGATATAATCCTGTCCAAGAGTCCTTTGAGACGATTCGCCATCACCTTAGCAAGTAGTTTATACAGAACGTTGCATAGAGAAATTGGGCGAAACTCTTTCGGCATCTTCGGATCCTTTACCTTGGGTATTAAAGCGATTAGGGTATGATTCATGGACTCTGGCATTACCCCCGTGTCAAACACTGTCGTAATTAAATCTGTTACGTCATCACCAAAAATATGCCAAAATTTTGTAAAGAAGAGGACCGAGAGCCCGTCTGGCCCTGACGCTTTCCTTTTACCCATGTTTCGGAGTACTTTATATATCTCTTCTCGAGTGACAGGCCGATTCAACTCCATGTTCTCTTCCTCTCCTATCCGACGAGTCACAGAGTCCAAAACCGGGGTGAGAAGGGGTCGAGACCCAGCTTTAAGAAGCTGGCTAAAGTACTCCCAGAGACACTGTGAAACTTGATCAGTACCCTTCCACCACAGTCCTACATCATTTTTTAGCTTTTTAATGGTATTCCGTCTTCGCCGAGCAGAGGCTTTTTTGTGGAAGAAATTGGTATTCTTGTCACCTTCGTGTATTCCAAAAAAATTATTCATCATTTTCCACCTCCTCTAATTCTTTCCGCAAGGCAGCGCGCTGAGCCAGAACCTCCCCAGTAGCCTCCTTCCATTCCAAAACCTTCATTGCCTTCTAATTTTTGCTTTTTGCTTCTGGAAATCAGGGAAGAGAACTCTATTCCAACCGTCTAGCTGATCTTGAACCCGAGAGATTTTATTAAACACATTCCCACCTCCCGCATTCCAAGCTCCAGCCACTTGATCCATACATTCCGCGTGCTTGATCCAGTGCTGTTCAAAATGAAAGAATCATCCCCATTTTACTTCCTCATCTTCTTCCCCTGTTGTCTAGTATAGAATCGGGCGATGATCCGATCGATTACTATCTAAGTGAGCTACTTGTGCTTGAGGCCAGATGCCTCTCCATTCCTCATTGGCTATAAACCGGTCCAGTCTCTCTTCAATGTATCCGCCCACCATCCTCCGGTTCTCCTAGGTGTACGGGTACCCCTGAAAACCCATGTCCTCCAACCCGACTTCGATAAGTCAGTCAACAAAGGCGACCATCTCATTCTCGTCAGCTAGATTCCCCCCCCCCCCCCCTTCTTCTCGTGAGCCGATAGATATTGGATGAAATCTCCTCATATCCAAGGGCCAGACCACCGTCCCGCAAGATTATGGATCAAATTCCACGTTCGGTATTTTTCTCTTCCTTCCGACCAACCATAAATGCCCGTGAAATGCCATGTCAAATTCGGCGGTTCCTCTATCTTAACATCCAAATGATTATCAGAGTCAGACATCACCGTAAGCGAAACTTCCTCCATCTGCCAGATGCTAATACCCCCAGCCCTGCCTCCACGTGAAACACCACATGGACAAATATACCTTTTAATTATGAACATGTAACAAATAATATTTTTTTGTTAGTATTTCCGTCATTTAAGTGAGAATACCAGAAAAAACTATCTTACCCTCACTTATCATCTAAATAATTATACTTATCTTTCTCTAGCGAAGTTGAAAGCTCATCGTTACTTTTCTTTCCCCCATAAATTAGGGGCTAGGATCAGGTGACTAAGAAGGGTCCCCTATAAGTGAATCTCAGCTCTTCAAGCTCATTTAAATATGATGGTTGATATTAATCTACTTTAATGAAGGGTAATGTAGTAATTGCATCACTTTTTAAATTTTTAATTATTAACTGATTTAATAAATTCCTTTACAGCTTTACTCCCACCTTCGTCGACAATAAATTTCCGGCGTCCAGTTCCTCCGCCGGCAACCTGAATTTCCGGCATCCCATTTGAGCGGACCGCCAATGGACCTGACATGGGGGATTTCTTTTGGCTTGAGAGAGAGAGAGAGAGAGATTTCGCCAACAATGAATTTTTCGGCGACGTCTGTTTTCTTATGTTTGTCGGGCGGCTTTTTAAATTCTAGTTTGTTATTTTTATCTATTATGTTTATAATATTTATATGACTAGTTTGTATACATTTTAATTTGTAATGTTTGTTTGTCTAGTTTCTATACTTTATATTGTGATTTGCATGCTTTGTATTCATTGATTTGTAATATAAGTTTACTGTTTTGTATTGTAAGTAGTGGCATTTTGTATTTTTAGTATGTTTTGTAATGTTTGTCGATCTATTTTGTAATGTTTATATCGATTCAGTTTGTATTGTTTATTATTCCTGTTTGTCATCTTTCTCTTTACATTTGTAATGTTTATATACTATTTTGTATATATTGTAATTTGTAATGTTTGTTTGTCTAGTTTGTATACTTTTATGTTATGATTTGTATATTTTG